GTTCAGTGGGGTGGGGTTTGGGCATGGAGGGCCAGCGGGGTTCTGGATGTACCGGGTGAGGCTTGGCAGGGGAGTCTGAGTATGGGAGGTCTGGATGCACAGGGGTTGAGTGGATGTGGGAGCAGTTCCCTGTACAGTGACCCCTCCCCCACAGCTGAGGAGTGATGGGGGCAGGAAGCAGGGGAGGATGTTGAGTTTCCTGCAGCTGGGGGAGGTTTCTGGGGGTTGGTCTGACACAGCCCTAGCTACTTCTTGCAAGGGAAGAGAAAGTCCTGTCCTCTCCTGCCTCCATCCAAGCTAGGACTAGCAGCTGATCCTGGCTCAGGGTAGGAGCCACTGGGTGGGGTGCCCCAGTCCCGCGGTGATTTACCTCTCAGCCGGCTGCTCTGGGTGCCTGAAATGTTGTACCTGTGCTGCTAAGGAGTGGTGCATGACTGCTCTTGCAGCTTCCTTTTGCTTCCCTGTCTGAAAGTCATTTTTCTGTGGGGAAGCAAAGAAATCTGTGGGGGTCATGAATTCTGTGCACTCACAGTGACACAGAATTCACCCAGGAGTAATTTGAGTACTGTGATGATGATTGCCTGACAGTAATGCCAGTAAATAAATAACTGAGGTATCTAAATATTCTATAGCTTTCAGAAAAAATGGCTGATAAAACATTGCTGCAAGATCACAACAGTAGATTGAGTTGGAGCTGAGAAATGGAAATTCACATTTTAATTTCTGTTCAGATATGAAAAACAAATTGTAGCTGCAATATAATTGTAGTATGTGCATAGATATATTTTTTTCAGAAGGAGAGTTGCTAAAAAAATCTACATAGGGCATGCCATATATTGTATGCTATCGTAACATCCAAATATTTATACTTGTGGCAATATGGTCTGGGAAGAATGTTTTTAAATTTAATTCTCTCCTTGTACAGTTACATTGCTAACCAAACTGCCACAAACTCATTATTTTGCATTGCTTTAGCTTGGGTCTGCCGAGTTTAGTGATTGAAGCAAGAACTAATTTGTAGTTTTCCTTTATAGTAATTTAGCTTCTTGACTAGATAAAAGCCTGGGAGGACCTGAAAATTATTATAATTTGTGTATCTTTCTAATCACTTTAGTCTATGCAAGTAGGGTTTATCCGCATAACTGGGAAACCCATTGTGAAAACCAAACTTCCTAACTCATTCATTTGCACAACAAACATCATAAACCAAGGAAATGGTAGTTTGGTTACTTTGATAAGTGCAGTTTAGCTTTATTTATGGTCTGGATAGCATATCCTATTATATTTTGTAAAAATGAATTAAATTGTCATGTGATTTCATGACAGTACAATACTTTATTAAATCTTTGCTAATCCACAAACTCAGTAACTGTCACATGATAACCCACCTTCTCTGTAAAATGAGTTTCTGCTGCAAATTGATGATGTTCATAAATCCATGAACAATACTGACTTTCAAATGTATTCCTCAGTAACCTTATTGAGAGTGTACCATCCAAAACCAAGAGTTAATGCAGCTGTCTTTCATAGATTCTCAGGGCTTGCTCTTTACTAAGCTTCAAGTTCACAATGCTAAACAGTTTGCTACGTATTTTAAAATACATAGCAAACTAAAATATATGCATCCGAAGAAGTGGGCTGTAGTCCACAAAAGCTTATGCTCTAATAAATTTGTTAGTCTCTAAGGTGCCACAAGTACTCCTGTTCTTCTTTTTGCGGATACAGACTAACACGGCTACTACTCTGAAACCTATTTTAAAATAGTAGCACAAACTCTTTAAACCCAGGGTGCAAAAAGGTAAAACTGACTTGGTAGTTAGTAAAGAAGAACATGCAGTTATATTGCCCTTTGCTTCCCCTCCTACTCCCACTTCAAGAACGTAGGAAGCTGGGACAGTTTCATAACAGTCCATTCACATTTCCCTATTGAAATGTAGAGGCAGGTCACCTTCTGTGAATTCACAAAGAGATTATTGTTAGAAGTGAGTAGGCTATATGAACGCACAAATTGTCTGAATTTTTTTAATTCAGAAAACTAGGTGATGGAAACAATGAGAAGTACCTTTTTGAGTGTAATATTTAAGTGTCTATTGAAATGGAAGCTTAGAACTCCAAGGGGATTTCAGAGCTGGCAATAGTTGCACAATCACTCTGAAAGCTGAGATTTAGACAGCATTTTAGGAGGTTGACACACACACACTAATTACTACTAGTGGTTTTGGCATGGGAGCAGGTGGAGGCTGGTCCTCTTACAATCCCTGCAGGCTTTTTCATGTAATCGGAGCAAGCACTCTACTCTACATGTGCTTTCAAACTATTTAAACACCAGTCTCCTTCCTATTTCATCTTTTTTTTTTTAATACTGCAACAGACACTTTCTCTGTGGTCTTGCCGGTTGTTGTAAGCACAATAAGGTGAAAACACTGGGGTAAATCAAATCTAGTGTGAATGCTTGGACCCATTCTTAGTATTTTAGCCTACGGATTATTTTTAAACTGCATTTTCTAATTCTTGCCACTTCTAACAACTTAACAAGTGTGAAGTAGCTAGTAAATTGAGCCCTTACCTGTCCTCTAGGCAACAAGTGAAGACTTAAAATGTTGACACATCTACATGACATAAGCAGCCAAACTCCAATTGGAACAAACATTTCTAGTTTAGGACACTTGCCCAATGTGATATAAATTGGCCTGGATTGATGTCTGTCTTTAATGCTACATGAAACTGAGTTTGAGGATCAGTGTCCTACTTCAGTCTCAGCCCCGTAGTGGATAGCCCTGTCTGTCCTTGTACAACTGAAAGAATGAGAGGTTAATACTTTAACTGGGGTCTCATCTATCTTCAACTCATTTGCTAGTTATCGGCTAATAGAATGGCTTTAATCACTTTCTGGAATTACATATCCATGTATTTCTTAAAGAAAATTTTAATCTTATTGGTTGGTAACCATTCAAACATGTTGATTTGGAACTAAATATAGCCTTTATGCTAAATTTGGTACTTTTTGCTAACCAGGAGGATACACTGTAGCAATGCAAGTTTATTTAAGCAGCGTAACTCATTTTATTCAGGTTGTTAATAGCTTTTACTTTTTTTAATATATGCCTTAATGTAAGTTATCATAATTTCAAATTTAATTTTAAATTGGTTTACTTTTAAAAACAAAAATGTATTTAAATAAATCATTTTTGTTTATTTTTAAATCATAGATTTTTATCCACTCTAGCTTCCATTGTTTGAGGAGTGTGTCTAACTTGATTTAGTGGTGTAAGAATTAACTAGATAAAGTTAAAAATAAATGCTGCTTTGTAGTGTCTCGTAGTTAAGAAGTGTATAGTCTATTTCAATAGAGTATCTATGAAAAGGGAAAAGCTGAAATAAAGTTATTTTTTTTTTTTTTTTAAGACCATGGTGCGATCCTGTCATAGAAAAAATGGCAGAGTTTGAGTCTTGCACAATTCCAGCAAAGCTGATGTTCTCCCTTCTAAATTCTGGCAACATGTCTGACTAAGAAACGCTTGGGTTGAGAGAGAAAGAGAGAAACAACCTGCACTGATTGCATTGATGCAAATGTGTGCATGGCTATTCATGGTTTGTAAAAACTTGTGCACAAACTGGCTTTCTCTAGACAGAGAACAGGCAGGTTCCTTACTTATTCTTGAACACGCTTTCTAGGGGATGGAATAATGAAAGGTAGAGGAGGTGGGAGAGAACCAAACTAATCAACAGTACAGGGTATTCATTGTGTATCCCTTAAAAAGCATGCCAGAACATGATCTGGTCCCTAACCCATGTCTGGTTTTACTTTTTGGAGAGAATTTCCTTTCAAGTACCCAGTGATGTGGAGTGTAACAGATAGATCATGTTCAGTAAACATCTATCTCTTCATGATCATGTAAATGTCATCTTTATCTTTCCCTAAACAGTACACTGTACTCCTTGAGCAGGTAAAGGGTCTGTTCTAAAGTGATTTTTTAGGGCATTTAGTGTCTGTATTCAGGTGAGGAGACTGAGGTTCTCCTGCCTTGTTATATTTAATCCTCCTCACTTTATGCAGTCTTGTTCCACTGAGTTGCAGTTTCTCCACTGTCCAGAATGTACAGCTGTTCTTTCAGCAATTGGGGGGGAGAGTCGGTGGGTTCACACAAGCAAAACCTTGTAAAGCAGCATATTCGATATATTACAGTTTCTAATTGAATTTCAAGTGTTTGCCAGAACATCTGTTTCCCAATGTGAATGTGTCTACTAAACTATTGTGCACACATTCAAAACAGGCTTCATAGAAAAGGATGACTCTACTTTGTTTAGATTTGCTCAACCCCATAGCTTGGAACTGTTGTGGGATACATGCTAGCAGGAAACCTTGTGAGACCGACAAATGAATTTCTAGTAGCTAACACTTAAAGTGATTATTCAATATAATGATCTTATCTGAAACACTTGTGAATTGATCAAACCTTTGATTTAAGCAGTCACTTTATATTCAGTCTATTAGAATGAGTCTTTGACAAGATTACATTTGAAGTCAGGCTATTGTGCTTTGGCTTCCTTTTAGGTTAAAACCCTTGGCAAAGTGACTCCTTATCACAATAATACAGAGGGAGGTTTGTCTAATACAATGTTATACAAAGATTTGTATGTTTTGGCAAAATTGGTGTGTCTGAGTAACTGTCGGTATGTGTACAAGGTCTGAATTTGCTGGCATAAAACTTCTATTCATCACCTGTTTTACTGAAACTTGAAAATCTTTGGATTGATGTTTCCCCAAAAATGAACTCTTACAGAACTTATTCTAATTGTTGGATTTGTTTTTACAGTCGAAAGTGTTTGCCCTTCTGTTTCTGTGATGTGTGAAATATTTCCTTCTTTTCAGCAGGTGTTTGGGCCAGAGGGGCCCTCGCACAAAGGAGTCACTGTAATTCAGAGAGTTGGGTGGCATTTAAAATGGGAGACTCACTCATGTTTGCTTAGTGGTACTTACACCCTCCTTTCCTCTAAAGGGAATGAAAGCTGCAGGATACCTGGCGAGAACTGTGGATTTTTAAAGTTTGGCAACATTGCAGAGCAAGGCACAATGTCAACAGCAGGAATTGCTGCTCAGGAGATGAGCGGTCCATTAAAGACTGGATTTCTTCACAATGGCCAAGGCATAGGGAGTCTGAAAACCTGCTGGAGTGGCCACAATGGGTTTGAAAAGTAAGTGGGGAGAATTAACCTTGCAGATGGATTTGAGAGTTCTTACCAAGCATGTGACATAGGTGGACCAATAACTGGTTCACTTACTCAGAATATTTTTTCTTTTCTTTTCAGGACTTATTTTAATGTGGAACCTGTAGCAATGGCATATAATCTGAATCCATCAGCACAGCAAAATTGTACATCTGTTGGTATGTACACTGAAGATTTTGAGATGTATTGATATAAACTGTTTAGTGGAAGTGGTTTTGGAGACAATCTGTCCCTTTTAATATCTACAGTAGGGGAGACTTTCTGAATTTAGACACCAGGCTGCCCTCTAGTGACAGAATTTAAACACTACTTTGACTCTTTCCAATGTATTTCTGACTTTTTGCCTAGTATCTTAATAGTATACTTTTATTTGTTCTGAGGAAAATATTTAGTGTAAGTGTGTAAGAAGCTGAGTGTTGTTAGATATTTAGCTAAACTTGCTCACAAGGATAGAACTCTGTGGAAATAGTTGCAAAGTGGTTGGGGCAAATCAACTGCATGTTAAAACACCTATCCTGGAGACAGCCCTGTTTTAATGTAAGTTGTGCCCTGGGTCTCTAATTGTCTTACTTAACTGGAGCACTGCTATAATACAAGTCTTATATATATTACATAGTGTTGAATATTCTCCCTTTGATACTCCTGAGGGAATTCTGTGCCTAAAAATTATGGACACAATATTTTAAAATTCTGCAAAATTCAGCAAATTTTTATTTGTCAATAAATAAATGTGGCTCTGGCATGGCAGTGGGGTGCACAGGAGGAGCATTGAAGTGGGAGATCACCCTGAAGCCCCCACCACCCCCCAGTACAGAAACTCGGCAGTGAGAGGCTGCACCTGACCCTGACACAGTGCAAGGACTGGTCCTGCCCCAGAAATGCCCCAGGGCCCTTTCCCTTGTGACAGGTGCACCAGGTGTGGATGGGCAGGCTCAGCCCAGCAGGAGCCAAGTGTGGAGGGACTTAATGTGGGGGGGGATCCAGGTGATGTTTCTGTGGGGCAATATGGGTGCAGGTGGCTTAGTGGAAGAACTGAATGCACAGGCTTGTTGAGATGTTCCAGTTGCAGGGGCAATGGGACTCTGCAGGAGATCCAGGTGAAGGTAGTTGGGGCTCAGTGGGGGGTTTGGGTGTAGGGAGATGGGGCTTGATGGAGTGGAGGTCCAGGTGCAGCTGGTGGGGGATCAGTGGGGTGGAGGTCTGGGTGTGGGGGACTCATTGGAGGGATCTGAGTGTAGGGAGGTAGGGCTTGTCAGGGTGAGGGTTTGATGGGCCTGCTTAACGGGGGAGCCCCAGCTGCTGCTGAGGGGACACCGCATGTCGTTGCACATAATAGAAAGCAGGAAGGCTCCCAGCACACAGAAGGGGAGCACGACTGGCAGTAGGACACTGGAGGCAGCATTCAGCTGCAGAGTCCTCAGAGCCGAGACACAGCCTCCTTCAGCTGGGCAGCTCTGCGCTTGCAGAACAAGGGGTGGGGCAGTGGCATGTAACCCTGTGTGCCCCCATGCCTCGCCTCTGTTTGGAGGGGGGCAATCCCCCCCCCAAAACTGTGACCATTGTCACCCTCCCTCCCCCCCGCTTCCCTGCCGTTTTCTGTAGGGAAACACAGGAAATCTGCGGGGGGAGGAAGGTCACTTTCTGTGGGTGCACAGTCTTGCAGAATCCCTCCAGGAGTACTCTGAGGATGCATGCTGTGAAGCTTGCTTAGGAATGATGCATTGTGCTGTGTAAGGCAAGCTATATGTAGGGGACAACAGCTGGCTGTTCATAAATGTATTGTTATGCAGGTGTGTTTCAGGATTACTGTAGTTAATACCTTAATTAACAAAACTCTTAAGGGTGCATTTTTCCTACTGCTGAATTGTGGGCAAATGAATGGCTAGATCGTCTGCCATAAATTCGTGGTGGGTATGTAGATGGACATTCTTAACTTTATTTTCCCATCCTAGGGCACATTTCAAACCCTGTACCAACAAATGGCTACTGCTTTACTGAAAGCTGTGTCAGGGTCCCACCTCAGAAATCCAGCCCATCTTCTCTTAGTCCCAAAAGTGAGAAGCTTAGTTCAAAGCATGAAGATCATCTTGTTCCTAGTTTCAGCAAACTGTCGGTAACTGTGGGCTGTGTTTCTGACGAGATCCCTCCTCATACACCAACAAAGAGTGGGCCACCTCAGTTTTCTTCTGCATCTTCCAGTGACCGCAGCTCTAGACCACTACCTCCACTGCCCATTTCTGAGGACCTCTCTCCAGATGATGTCGATAGAGAGGTGGAATTCTTAACGAGTTCAGACACTGACTTTTTGTTAGATGATTATGGACTTCCTCCTTTTAAATCCAGTGCTCCAAGTAGGCGGAGCTTTAGGGGCTGCGGACAGATCAATTATGCCTATTTTGATGCCCCAGCAGGACCGAAATCAGAAGATGCCAACTCTACAACTAACCTAAATGGATGTACACAAACCCCATGTCCTCCTCCACAACAGCAGCATCGGCGTTTACGAAGGTCTCATTCAGGGCCAGCTGGATCATTTAATAAACCAGTAGTGAGACTATCTAGCCACTTAAATAGGGCTTCTCCCAATTCTGATGAAGACAAACCAGAGGTCCCCCCTAGGGTTCCCATACCTCCTAGGGCGCTCAAACCGGATTATAGAAGGTGGTCAGCAGAAGTCGCTTCTAGTGCATACAGTGATGAAGACAGGCCTCCCAAAGTGCCTCCGAGAGAACCTTTATCACGGAGCAATTCCCGTACACCGAGCCCTAAAAGTCTGCCATTGTACCTCAATGGGGTCATGCCTCCCACACAGAGCTTTGCCCCAGATCCTAAGTATGTCAGCAGCAAAGCTCTACAAAGACAAAACAGTGATGGATCTGCGAACAGGGTCCCTTGCATTCTTCCCATTATTGAAAATGGTAAGAAGGCCAGTTCAACACACTACTATCTGCTGCCTGAAAGGCCTTCATATCTGGACAAGTATGAGAAGTTTTTCAGAGAAGCAGAAGAAATCAGCTCAAACGCAGAAGTGAAGTCCTGGTCTGGTGACTGCACCACAGCTATTGCCACAGCAAAGCAGGACTCAGAAGCTAGAATGGACATGGTTGGCCCCGTGAAACAAAAACACCTGTCTTATGTGGTTTCTCCATAGATTCTTGGAACATGATTCACAATAGTTGCTTAGGATGGAGTAGATCTTAACCATGTTGCTAAGTTTGAGATCCAAGGAAAGGTTCTCAAATAATGAAGTAATAGAATTCTTCCCGTTTCAGCAGAAAAGTGGGGTATTAATGGTAAAGTCATCTTATGCTGCATATCTCTCTGAATTGTTTGTCTGGACTAAGCCTGTCTTGGTCTGTATAATGAAGACTGTAAAGTGTTTATACAAACATATGGAGTAACCATAGCCACATTGGCCAGTTATACACTATCCTAGAGTAATATATTTTGTAAAGGCATATTAAGAAAAAATCCAGTTTTGATGTCTAAAACCGAAATCAGGGAAGAAAGTGCAGTACAGTATTTTTGTTATATCACAGGCATTTCCAAAATGATAGGCTTGGCATTTTAAAATCTCTTGCAGAAGATGGCATTGCTGGGAACAAACCCTGTTCTCTTTAGCTAGGATGTGCTAACCTGGCTAGAAGGAAATTGACATCTACTTAAAGACTTGGAAGTGTATTGGAAAGTGTTTAGACTTGTTTTTTAATATCTCCAATATTTTGAAAACTTAGTAGGATATAAGTAGAATTTAGTGAAGTAGCTTCCAACAGGGGTTAGACTTCTGCTTTTTTTTATGGTGCCTCTTGGATTCTTTCACCCACTAACAGGCACGTGGCAGAATTCGGCAGATTTACCTAGCAGAGACTTGGACCAGCTACTGCTAACCTTCACCCATTGTTATCTCCTTAAGAGGTCCAAGGAATGCATGTTAGTGTCCTAAAATTGACAGGGGAAAGAGATCTATCCATAATTGCTAGTAAATGGACAGCAATGACTACATCCTTATCTAGTATACAAATTCCTGACTGTATTATAAACAGAAACACAACACAAGCTGGTCTTGTGTTCTGGTTTCTATTCAGTATTTTCTGGTTGTGTGGTCTTTTTGTTTTGTTTTGTTTTTGGTAAATTAAACATGATTCCATTTACAAACCGTGTCAGTCACATCTACCTTTGCTTCAAATACTGCTTCTTTCTGTTTCCGTTTCCCCCATCCCCCCATAGTCTGCCTCACTGTTCCATTTAGGTCCGGGGAGATGCAACACTTGTGCATTAGCTGTTTCTTGTGCATACTTCCACATATTTATCCTTTTATAGATAAGCACAGGAGAAGAGGTGCTCATTAATGGAGGTCCATTACTATAATGTTCTCCTCCTCACAGAAATGAACAAGCTGTTTACAGTTTAAACTGCTGAATGAGCTATTTGAGCTATTTTAAAGCTTACTTATGTTTTAGTACAAACTAAATGAAGGTGAAATACATGCTATAGAAAATGCACTGATATTTCTGCATCATGTGTACAGTATTGAACAAAAGGATTTTATTCACTTTGTTTTATTTTGAATATTGTCATGTCTTGAATTTAATAAAGTTATAATATACTTATTTATGATACATGTAATGTTTCTTGATTTATTTGTGGTTTATATAAGTCTCATGCATTTTAGTTTTCAGTGTGTTTTTTCTAAAATTTGCATAAATGCAGACAATGTTAATACAACATTTTAAGGCTTCACAGTTAACTTTTGCAATTCTTGATCTAATCTTAAGGTTCCTACAGCAGTGTTTACTCATTCACGTTGCATACCATCTTCTGTTCTGGTTTCATTTCATTGTGTAGCTTTGCCAGCCTATTTTAGGGTGTGTCTAACTTATGTTGGCCAATAAGATGTGCCATAAATTCATGATACACAGACTATCAAGATCAGTAAACCTATTATTATTGATTGTTTCCGGTAGCACCCACAATGTGCTACCCACTGTAGCGAACACAAAAGAGCTCAGCAGTGTTCCTGACCTGAAAAGCTCCGAGGCTAAAAAGCTCAAAAGTGGACAGAAGGAAGGTAGGGGAAGGGATGTTTTTTCTAGGTGAAATAAAGTATAACTCTATAATCGAACTAATTTTTCTGTTCAATAGGAAAGAAGCTGGCAGCATTGTTTATACAACACAATACTTACCTGGTGCATGAGCCCTGAAAAGATATTCGAGAAAGTACATAGCAAGTAGTGAATAGACAAGCATGCAGATAGTCCCTGACTTAATGATCTTGTAATCTAAGCACTTTAGCTATTAAATCCAAATAACCCTGTGAAGTAGGCTAGTGATATTTCAAGATAAGTAGGGCCCGTGTTTATAGGGGTTCCATATCCACTGAATTTCCACACCTAGGGCTTTTTATTTTTGCAACAAAAGCTAATTATTTAGCTCTTATGGTTAGAGAGACCTCTAGGGTACACCTGCATGAAGAACAGGAGTACTTGTGGCACCTTAGAGACTAACAAATTTATTAGAGCATAAGCTTTCGTGGACTACAGCCCACTTCTTCGGATACAGAAATGGGCT